CGCCACAACTACCAATGCAACGAACACAACAACCCCAAACACACCCGATGCAAGCACCACAACAACCGTTGCACCAGCCGTCACATCAACCGTTGCATCAGCCTTCACAACAGCCATCGCATCAACAGCAGCAGAAGCAGCAGGCGCATGTACAACAACAGCAGCAACAGGAACATCTGCAACAACAGCAGCAACAGTCACATTTGCAACAACAGCACCTGCAGCAACCACAACAACAGCACCAAGATGGTGCAACGGCCACCACAGTGACTCGTCAGCCTCTTCCTGGTATCTCGGGTGTAGCAGAAAACCAATCGTACGCTGCATATGCTGACCATGACCAACAGAATGCCATGCATGATCCACATAATGCTGACACTTCTGACCAGAATTACGGGTATGCCGACGAGCATGACGGATACTATGATCCAAATGATCCATATGGAATGGCTAACAGCCACGAGCCTGGCATGGATTCTGGCTATGGATACGGACACGAGACTCAGCCACCAATAACGTCCCAAGATCAGGTCAACCAATATGGCGACCATCTTGGGTACGACAATCATCAACACTCATACGACCAACAGACGTACGATATCAACCAGCAGTTTGACCAACAGCAACAGAACGACCAAGAACAGCAGCAGTATGATCAAGAACAACAGCACTATGGTCAGGAACAACAGCAGAATGATCAGCAGTATGAGCAACTACATCAATATGACCAGCAGCAAGCAGCGCAATATCACCAACAGCAACAACAACAGTCTCAGGAGCAAAAAGGTGGGGTTTTCAGTCAAAAAAGTGGAGGAATTTTCGGGAGTATAACAGGCGCTCTAACGGGAGCCAAAACTCCACAACATCAACAGCAAGACCCAGTCCCTCAACAGGCCAAACAGCAGGCAGGGACTTCTACTTTCGGTGGTCTAGGCAATCTGTTTGGTGGTCTACCGAAAGCGAGACCAGGTATCGTATGTTATTTCCAAACCTCATCGCAAATTATTATCGCTCGTTCCAATCTCTTTATTTTGCCGCTCCCAAAGATTTTAATTCTCTACGTCGAAATTAGCTAGATTACTTTTTCTTCAGGTTTACGGCTAACTTTATAAAACGCTAGATTCGAGTATTTTCCTTTCGAAAAGCAAATAAGTGTATGATTAATGTAGATTAAATTTTCAGTATTAAAAAAATATTCAGTAAATCAATTTTGCCAGGAAGATTAGTTTCTGCAGACTCGTATCTAGCTCATTTACCACCAAAATTTAATCATCTACTAAATCCTATTGCAAGACAGCTTGAAATATTCACAGCTTGAAAATTTCCGGCTAGCCTAAAAGCTTCTTCGTTGGATTTCAATAGATATTATTAAAAGCCGTTAAACAGAATTCATTAAAAGTTAGCTTCAAACAATTTCAGGTTTTTCAAGGAAAAATATTAGTTTTTGTTGCTTTTTTCACGAATCAAAAAATGAAAAATACTCTCGTGATCGAAAAAATACTTTTCATTATTAATTGACTCAGATACCGTTATTTTAGTGAAAATTTGCGATAGGCCTCATTTAAAAAAATTAATACAAAGGCATGCAATGCGTGCTTCGAACTTCACATAAAAATGCTATTAAAATAAATGGCAATTCATTTGCATCAAGATGTACTAGTCGTCATACGTGCCCGCCATACTATTTCTTACTATTTTATAATTTTTGAAGCATGTTTATTCAATTATCAAGAACCTTCACTGATTCAATGACTTTTTCTAGGAGCACTTTTCATTATATGGAGGCTAGCAAGAAAATTTTATGAAAATACAGGAAAAGTAATAGATATATTTGCAAAAAAATTATCTATTTTCTGCTATTAACGCATTAGTATAGAATTTTTTCTTGCACCCTGTAAAGGATAATCGTATTAAGTTTCTCAAAAATGCTGGGAAAGCTGGAAAAATTACAATATTGTAAAATATTTGTGACCACAGCAAAAATTTAGGCTTCGTGTTTAATCTTTATTACTGGTAGCTTTTATTTTAAAAACACGTATATTAATGAATACTGAACATTTGAATCTGCCTGCTTGAATATAATATTTTATACGTTTGAAACGTATTGAAAGTCCTACATACAGCCCAAGTTCAATGGTCTCTCAAAACGATCAATATAAATAAAATAATGCTAATTAGTTGAGAAAAATAGATAATTTTCAGCTATTTAAACCCAATGAATTATGTGAGTAACGAATCTTTTTAAAAGTGCTGCAAATTATTTGGGGGAACCTTTCTTAAATTAACAACTTTGTTCTCAAAATTATTACTCGGCTTCGGGATGCTTGCATTCGGGATGACTGGGTAGGGAATAACGGTATTCAGGATAACGGGAGTGTCAAATTACAGAGATTATATATCCCGGGCAACGTCTGACTCAATAGCAGTCAATATAAGTAATGTCAGTGCATTAAAATAGTGTTGTGAAAAAATTATTTTCAAGAGAAAAACATGCTTGTTCATTAGTTTTTATGTCATAATTTAGTGCATGATTAAAAACTTCATTATGAATCGAATGTGGCCAAAGATATACCTCTCATTTCAAGGGCGTGAGTGTCTGCGTTTGCATGCTTGAAATATTTGTGTCGCTAAAACTTTTACACTATACACGGTTCACTAAATTTTCATTATATAAAAACCCTCAAGTCATGAAAATAAATAAATTGAATTATAGTGAAATTTGTATGCGCTTGACAATCTTACCTTAATTTTACCCAATTTTCGATTTAATTTACAATCGAACGAAGAAGCTAGAATAATTCAACGGATTAATAGGTGACCTTCAAAAGCTTCAAAGCTAGAATAATCGTTCGGGCAAAGAAACCAATAATTATCACAAAGAACATTAATTGAATTTCCTTCATAAAAATAGTTAGGCGTTTATTAATTAAGCTCTCGACAGAAGGTTTAAGTTCCGTGAAAAGTTCAAATTCAACAATTCATTAATAAATTGAATGCACGTCTTCTATCCTATTTTCTCACTTAATTTAGTAAAATAGACAAATTAGTCTGCTCAGTATAAACATGTAGCTAATTAGTTTAGTCAATATCCTACTTAGTGTACAACATATCGCTAATTAGGTTAAGCGTTACTAAGCTTAGTGCACGACATACCGCTGATAAGGTTAGGCGCTACTAAGTAAATTTTACAACATGCCGTCAATTAGGTATGCGTTACTAAGCTTAGTGTAACAATATACCGCTAAATAGGTTAGGCGTTACTAAGCAACGTTTACAACATGCCGCGAATTAGCTTGGGCATTACTAAGCAAAGGTTACAACATGATGCTAATTAGATTAAAACTTATTCTTTTGAGCTCTTAAGTTGCTCCTGATAAAACTTAACGTTTATCTTAAGTATTATGCACAACGTTGTCAATGCTTATATGACGCTAATCTTTAATACATTGCATTTAGTTGTGAAAGCTCAGATAAAGGTTAACAGTTATTAATTCAGCATTAACGGTTATTAATTCAGTACCTTGTAAAAATTTTATGAAAGCTCATATAGCGCTTATCGTAAGTACCTTGTATAACATTTATGAAAGCTCATATAACGATTATCGTAAGTACCTTGAATAACATTTCTGAAAGCTCATATAGCGCTTATCGTAAGTACCTTGTAATAACATTTATGAGAGCTCATATAACGCTTATCGTAAGTACTTTGTAAAACATTTATGAAAGCTTATATAGCGCTTATCGTAAGTACCTTGTAATAACATTTATGAAAGCTCATATAAAGCTTATCGTAAGTACCTTGTATAACATTTATGAAAGCTCATATAAAGCTTATCGTAAGTACCTTGTATAACATTTATGAAAGCTCATATAAAGCCTATCTTTATTCCATTGCATCACGTTATGGAAGTATATATCAAGCTCATCTTAAGTACACTGCATCAGGTTGTGAAAACTTATTTAAAGCACATCTTCAGTAACTCGCATCACGGTGTGAGAATCTTTTTGCCAGTCCAAGACACCAACATTTGCTCTTTCACGCGTCATTTACAACCTATTTTTCATTTTTAGCGATCGCGTTAAATTTTTCAAGTAATATTTAGCGATCAATTCTTTGTAATAATAGTAGTATTAATGTTAACAGCTTCCTACACCCTGGCTTTGCACGCTAGACATTAATTTTCACATTAATCATGATTTTAACAATAATGTTAAGCTGTAAAATATTTAAAATAATGTTTTTTGAAAAATACTGGAGCAGTTATTAGACTTAATATTAGTATATCTTAATATAGTATATCTCTTAATCTTTATACTAGTATATCGAATTTATTGTTTAAGCCCTAAAATGAATGTCTTCCAATTTAAGGGAAATTATTTATCACTCAGGCCAAACTATATATTTTTGTGTTACTTGAGCCGTAAGAAACGTCACAGTCGTACAGGTAATTTCTGTATTAAAAATAAAGCCACGCGAAAAATTCAAACAGATTTTGATGTTCTTACAGCGCACAATTTTGCCAGCTTTTATTTAACCTTCCAACTCTGAATTCAAATATACGTCGTTGTTTTACCTGCACTTTTTATCTTAAAAAAGAATGCTCGCGATTTTAAACTACCCATTTGATTATTCAAATTAGTGATACTTTTGCATGCGAATTTCCTTTGCCTCCACAGCTCTGTAAATATAACAAATTTCTGCAAAGGTAATGAATAATAGATTGCGGGATATCAGAATAATCAGTAGACAGTTAATCCAAAGGACAGAATTTGCTACAGAATAATGGATTTAATTAACAATAATTACTAATCATGTTTATATTTACCCGGCGGTCTAAGCATCATAGTTAATTAACATTGAACCAACAATAGTGACGAGAAGAACTTGATCATAGTTTTGATTGCAATTAAAAGTAAAAATTAATAAATTACTCAAGAGTTATTCAGGAATTGACACTAAAACGAAATTTGTGATTCTAATTTCTTTTTTTTTTCGTCAGGAACAGATGGAGTCATGCAGCATCAACAACAACAAACACAGCAACAACAACAGAATTTACAAAATGCAAATCAAATGTTCCCGAATCAACAGCAGCAACAAATGCAAGCTCAGAACCAAGGTTATCAACAGCCGTTTTCGAACGCAAATGCAAGCAATCAACAGATGAATCAACAACAACAACAGCCGCAGATGATTAGTGTTATACCTGATAACACAGCCTTGCAGCTGCAGCAACAGCTGTCTCAAACGCAGCTGCAAAATCAACAGCTTCAACAACAGCTCTTACTGGAACAGCAAAAACAAAAACAGATCGAACAGAGTCAGCAACAACTGCAACAAGAACAAATGAAGCAGCAACAACAAACGCAACAGTTGCAGACACAGTTGCAACTCGAACAACAAAAACAGCAACTACAACAACAGCAGCTGATACAACAGCAGCAACAACTGCAGCAACAAATAACTCAAGTTGCACAACAAACAGAGCAGCAAAAACAGCAGCAGCTCCAACAGCAGCAGCAACAACAACAACAGCAACAGCAACAGCAGCAACAGCAACAACAACAGCAACAGCAGCAAATACAACTGCAGCAGCAGCAACAATTACAACAGCAGCAACAGCAGCAAATACAACAACAGCAGTTACAGCAGCAGCAACAGACCACCAAATCAGGCGGAGTTTTGTCCACTTTAAAGGAGGCGTACTCGGCCATCACTCCTCAGTCTGCCAAGGACGAGCACTACGGCAGGATGCAGCAGGAAGGCTCCGCTCAAAATTACCAACAAAGGTTCAGTTGAGATTGATAATTACATTATTTGATGCATTAAATTTATAGTTTAAATTGAGATTTTTGTTTAATTAGCAGGTAATTGATTGAGTTTTAGTGAATTTTGACGTTATAAATGCGAACGTCAAAGGTACAACGAAAATGTGCTTTAATTATGTAATGAAATTTACGAGGGATAATGATTTTTTTCATAAGAAATTCAACAACTGTCGCATTATTTGATAAAATGGTCGCGGTAAATAGTCAACATACCAGCCTACGTGCAACGAACATTGCCTAAATATTATAATATAAGAATGATACTTCTTAATAGAACTACTACTACAACTACTCCTAAAAATAATAATAATAATAATAATAATAATAATAATAATAATAATAATAATAATAATAATAATAATAATAATAATAATATTCTCAACAGAAGCATGTCGCCCAGCGACCCTCGTCACGGCATGATCGTCACCAGCACAGGTGCCCTCAAGACCCTCGAGAAGCCCCAGCCCAACGTGAGTACAGCGTCGTGCTGTGCATTAGAGGGTAACTGCTGTTCTGTGTGAGGGTATAGAGTACAGCTGTGCAGTAGAGGGTAACTGCTGTTCTGTGTGAGGGTATAGAGTACAGCTGTGCAGTAGAGGGTAACAGCAGCTCTGTGTGAGGGTACAGAGTTCAGCTGTGCATTAGAGGGTAACTGCAGCTCTGTGTGAGGGTACAGAGTTCAGCTGTGCATTAGAGGGTAAGAGCAGCTCTGTGTGAGGGTACAGAGTTCAGCTCTGCATTAGAGGGTAACAGCAGCTCTGTGTGAGGGTACAGAGTTCAGCTGTGCAGGGTGAGGGTATAGAGTTCAGCTGTGCAGGGTGAGGGTACAGAGTTCAGCTGTGCAGGGTGAGGGTAAAGAGTTCAGCTGTGCAGGGTGAGGGTACAGAGTTCAGCTGTGCAGGGTGAGGGTACAGAGTTCAGCTGTGCAGGGTGAGGGTAAAGAGTTCAGCTGTNCTCAAAGATGTGTATAAGAGACAGGTCCAGCTGTATAGAGTGAGGGCACAGAGTTCAGCTGTGCAGGGTGAGGGTACAGAGTCCAGCTGTATAGGGTGAGGGTACAGAGTTCAGCTGTGCAGAGTGAGGGTACAGAGTCCAGCTGTGCAGGGTGAGGGCACAGAGTTAAGCTGTGAAGTGTTTAGACGTTTTATTTGTCCTCACTCAAAAATTATTTCAATAACAGCACCATTTGTAGGAACACAGAAATAATTGATTTTTTTTAATTGAAAGGTTATGATGACTATGCTTCTCTGTCGCTGAAGTTGAAAATGTGAAATTTACGTCCTATTTAAAAATGTTAGCACGATGTTCTGATACCTGGAATCGGGCACAAATAAAAATCAGTTGCTCATTGTGCTATGATAAATTCGCTGTGCTAGATTTTTAATAATCAGTAGGGAAAAAATAAATGTAATCAATTTTTTGGGGTCATTGCGCTCTTCTTTGAGGAAGCCAATGAATTTCTTCGTAATTAATAACAAATTATGCTAAGCATGATCTCTCTACGGCGATTTTACAAATTTTTTATTAATCGAAAATGGAAACATTTATCTTTATAATCACACATTTCTCACACTTTGTTAATTAAATTGAAGTTATTAATTCAACAGATAAATAATATTTTCCTGGTTGCCCGCATGGATTAAAACTTCGGAAGCCTTGGATTAGGCTGAAGAAAAAGAAGGCTCGACACAAAATTTTGTCTTTTTTTGGCAAAGAGAAAAGTTCTGAGCGAGACGACGTCTTGTGATCTCACAGCTCGGGAAATTGAAGGAGAATGACAGTCGACGTCGAATAAGGGAAGAGAAAGTTTCTTGTGAACCGGGAACTAGAAACCTACTTTAAAAATCCAGATAATTTTAGGCGCAAACTCTTAGGGTAGACTGTTTGCTGTAAAAGTATAAATGATTTTCAATTTATACGGGTAATGTTAGACGGGCTTGTTAGATTTTCGGAGTAAAAATTAAGTGTTAAAGTAGAAAATGCGAATCAAGATTACAATTCAATTAATTGAGTTGAATTTCCAATTTTATTTACAATTTAATAAATTCAATATGCGACCTTTAACAGACAAAGAACCAGGTTTTACCCTAAAACTAAGGAAAAAATATAACTCAGTACTCACTGCAGTGAGTGACAGAGAGCGCATTTTCACGTCGACGAAAACTTGAGGTCACGGACGGATGGACAGACGGACGGACAGACAGACAGACAGACAGACAGACAGACGGACATGGCGAGCACAATAGTGCATTTTTTCCATAAATGAGAAAATGCGCTAAAAACAGCAAGCATAAGATAATCGTATGATGAAGTCCTTTTAAGTCATGTAGTCAAAGGTGTCGCACTGGTAGAACTTACCTCCTGGCTCCAGTCATTAAAATGTCTACGCTGACCGTAGATTCTATTCGATTTATAACTGTAAGATAAACAATGATAATTAAATTTAACAGATGAGCATGCAGCAACAAAATCAACAGCAGCAAATTCTTCAACAGCAACAACAGCAAGGCAACAAGAGCTCGATAAGCGGAATGCTCTCTGACTTCACCAAAGCTCTCGGTAAATCAACAACCACTGTGATGAATTCTGCAATTAACGTAACGAACATTTAAGACGTACACATTTTTCAACACAATATTGGCAACATGTGCCTCATATAGCAATTCTTATATGCTCGTATATATTCTTATACTCCTAATTATTCTTATACTTATAATTATTAAATGCTCATATATTCTTATACGCTTCCTATAAAAGTTTGCCATGAATTTCCACAGTAGTGAGGGTTCAACGGTAAGAAGCCGTAGTTATTATCTTTGAATTTTTGATAATTTGACTGTCTTCAAACACAAGCAATTTCCTTGCGCAAAGCAAGAAAATCAGTGCGCTTGCTCATAGAAATTGGTGTTAATGGATAGCTGTAAAGAATAAGGAAAATCCTTAATGAACACCATACACTTTTCTATGAAATCGATTAAGTGTTCAATGTAAGTACATATAATTCATAGTGATGTAGTATTTAAAAAATAATGGTCCATACTTGATCTTGCAATTTTTAAAATCCAACACTGTGCAGAGACAAAAAATCCTTTTTAAAATCCATTACAGTGCGAAGACGAATTGCAGAAGATTTTAAAAACAATTTATTACATTTAAATTATCATTCTTAATAAAGTATTTCAACCAAAATCTTTGTTCGTCCACAGGTGGGAGCACAGGAGGGGTTTTCGGCCCCCAAGCAAACCAAAACCGGCAAGGAGGAAATACGAATGCCCTGCAGCAACAGCAACTACAGCAGCAACAGCAACAAGCGTTGATGGCTGGCTTAGGAGGACAACAGACCGCCTTGATGGCCAATCATGTGGGCGTTGGCGGACAACTGCCCAATGCCGCTCAACAGGCGCTGTTGATGCAACAGATGACCCCACAACAGCAGCTGCAGCTACAACAATTGCAGATGCAACAGCTGAAAAAATTACGTAGTCGAGATCCAATAGCTGCGGCTATACTACAGCAACAGATTGCTCTGCAGCAGCAGCAGCAGAGTCTATACCAGCAGAGTAAAGTATCGCCTACTCCTTTACGCAAGGATATTATGGGCGGCGTAGGGGCGGCCATCCAACAGCAGCTACAGGGTGGCCAGCGTATCGGCCGTAACATTCCTACGGTTGCTTTGCTGCAGCAGAGCACAATAAGCACAAGTGATGGAAAGACGCGTGTTGGACCAGGGTGTCTGCAGGGAGATATTGGCTTAACTCCGCTGCAGAGGTGAGTACAAAACTAATATATGTTCTCTTAATTAAGTTATTTTCTGTTCTCAAATTTGTTACGAAAGTCGCTGAGTGTTTTCTGGGATCTATTCTACAGTTAATTTACTTACACCAGTTATTCAATTTTTATTCCATCACACTTGACATATTACATTTTTAAAGTTAGTTCGGTATGCTGAAAAGGTTTGCATTATATGATTTGTTCAACTGAAAAATATTAACACAACCAACTTACTTTAAACATAAATAATTTGTTAATTTTATCAACTTAGACATGCAACACTTAAGAGATTTATTAGTTCCATTTAGATTAAGTGCAATATTCGATTAGTTTATATTATTTTCATGTTAAAAGTTGAGTCATATTATATATTATCACTAACCTAGATTGATAAAGAAAGAAGCTTCATTCAACTAGTAATTCACCAAAGAAGAAGAATTTAGTAAAATTTTCGAGTTAAAAATTTTTAGTTCTAGAACAGGTGAAGTGATTTTTATTTTATGCTTACTTAATTAAATGCATGCAACTTAAAAATTTTTTAAGACATCAAAGTGGAATTTAGCGAATTTTAGGAGCAATTATTTTAAGGTGGAAAATAATATATTAAACCGAACGTTGTTCTTCAAACACTTTGATTTAATCCCTGAAATTTGAGTTTGCTCGTGCTGCATCGATAAAAAATCCCTGTTAGAAATCCATCATTGTGAAGTTAAATTTTTTCTATATTTTTTTCATGAATATTTTTCTAAACCGTGATGTATAATTCCCTATAAAACCGCATCTTGTCCTGTTTTTTTTAGCATTAGCAATGATATGAAATAGTAATATTATTCTTATTATTATTTCATAATACTAATATAGTAATAATTATTATTTCTGACTTGCAAATTAGCGCAAAAATACGACAATTTTTTCATCAAAAACTTTGGCTGAAATTTTTTTATATTTTTTAAACTTTCTTTTGTGCAAGACTAGCACGCTTTTAATGTAAACTTTTTGAGCGTAGAATGCTTGTTCATTTTAGATGAAAAATAGGACGCCACTTTTCAATGCTTTTAAACAATTTATAGGTTGAAGAAAAATACGTGATTTGGAATGCGAAAAAAATAGAATTGATCTATTATTTGACATGAGAAACGATTGCTTTAGTTGCAAAGTCTATGAAAGGAATTGTGATCGGTGCTCAAACTTGTGTACAAGAGGAAATTATGAACCTTACGCCCAAAAATTATTTTCCTCCTCAGTGCCTATTATTCCTGCTACTCACCTAAGCAAGTAATAGTCGGAAAAAAATTCTCAAGATCAATCATAAAATATTTTGAAATTTTGAATTTTTGAATGGGCATTAAAATGTATTGAAGAACTTGAAATAAGTTTCAAAAATTCATTGATTGAGGTGCGGTTTTCATAAAAACATCTTCAAGCATAAGACCTTAATTAATATCAAGGCTCCTCAAAATAGCTGCATTGCTTTAAAGTAATCAGAAAAAGCACATTTGTATTCTTTAGGAATATCGCTTGTCTGAGAGGCTTCAATGGTTATATTTCATGATAAAAAGTCGTCTTCATTAATATCCTTTGACAGAAAGACGTCTCTGGTAAAATACCTTGACAGAAAGGCGGCTCTAAAAATACTGGTTAAAAAATTCGTCCACAGTAATATCCTTGATGGAAAAGCGTCTGTAATAATATTACAGAATCTTTTTAGACAGAAAGGTGTCTGTTCTAATATCCTTTGGCAGAGATGCGTTCATAATAATAACCCTTGACAGAGAGGCATCTATAGTAATATCCCCAAGGAGAAAAACGACACTAGTAATATCCTTTGACTGGAAGGCGCCTTCACAAGTATCCTCTGTGCAGAACGCGTCTAAAATCCACATCGGAGAAGCAGGTTGGCTCGCCTGAAGAAAGTCAGTTAGCTTTGCTCATTGGGGGGACTTCTGGCACCCCGGCAGGCACCCCAAGAGGGGCCAGAGACGATTCTTCAGACACTCTTAGCGAAACCGATAGCCAGAAGAGCTCCAGAAACCGGCGAAAACTTCCTCATTTGCCTCCCGACCAAGAGTCGTTACCTTTATCTGCATACAAGAGAATCTTTGGTTCCAGTACTAAGGAGAGAGTGAGGTGGGATGTCAAGCGGTCGCTGGGCCGGTGCGTGCGTCGGTCATGTTTATACGTTGCGGTAATCAGCGGGCTTCGAAAAACAGCTTCATGGATCATAGTTTTGGTGCCGTTGGCACCAAACTGTTGGATGCTTAATGTAGAATGCCAAACTGTACAAAAAATTCTACATTTATTAACTGCTGGATGCTTTTTAATGGGATAACTTGGATACATGTCATAAATCTGTATTCAACAAAATTTTAGCACCGAACAGGTTTGAATGCCTAGCAGATATTCTGTGGATCAATCAATCACTTTAATAAACTACGAACGTTAACGCTTCACTGCACATGGTTTTCGTGGAAGGTTCGAAGCTCGTTGTACAGCCTCAGTATACAATACGTAATTTCACTTAACCGTGACTGTTGATGCACCGTAAATGTAATTACTAATATTATTAAATGTGCTCTTCTGTGAGAGAGTAAATGTACTACTCGTGCGACGCACTCATATACCTTCCTTCGTTTTCATTTCGATATTTCCTCAAGTGTGCGTTCTTCCTATTCATCTTGCGATGTTCTCTCACTCTCTCTGTCTATATTTTTGCTGGAACGCTTAAAATGCAGAAAATTATTATTAAAATATGAGGAACAATTACCGTTACTTTTAATGGGACGCAAGTTTAATTCTTACGAAAGTTTTCACATTGCTGCAGATAAATTCATATCTCAAAAGAATGTACTGACATACTTATGAGAATAAGTATTTATCCTCCCGATGAAATTATTGAGAAAAATGTCTCTGAGAGTCTCTGAAATTCTTGCTGCGCGGAGCAATATTTAGCGCCATCATGAGACCAACTCTGAACATTTAGTAGGAATAATTTTTTCAGAAATCTGAATTATATTTTCTACGTTAAATCCACCACCATTCGTACGAGAATGTTTACTCTCCTTTTTTTAATTGCGCTGCGTTCATGTTTAGTTTACCAGATTTATCACGTAAACATTTCACGTAAATTTTGTATTAAAACTGCAAATATTTGTATATCCAATAAGAGCTTATTTGAGACACTAAAGTACTGAATGGTAGACGTTATAAGTGTGCTGCATAATTCATAAAAAATTCATTTAAATCTCACGGAGAATCCGATACTCGACGTATTAATAAAAAATTACCGTGGAATTTCAATTTCCATATATTAAGATAAATTGCAACTTTTTTGAGTAAGTTCTTTCTTTTTCAATGGTGGCATCTCCAAAGAATTTTTTAGTAATCGGATCAATAATTGTATTATTGAGGCACTATTTTTTGCTTTCATTGCTGCATTTTTTTGTATTGTAGTTCCAAAAGATTTAAAAATGCGCAACACTTACTGCAGCATTTCACGCTACTGTTGTTGTTTTTACCCAAAATTCTGTTGGGTTAACATCAATTTAAGTCTGCACGGAGTTCACTTTAGAAAATATAATAATAAAATGCTTACTATTCGTCTACATCTAATGGTTCTCAAAATTTCGTACACGATCTAAACAAGTACGTAGAAATTAAGTGTTAAATTGACCTGCATACAACGAATAATTCTGTCCTATTGTTGTATTATATTTCTTATTTTCCGTTCTCTATGTTTTTTACTAGTCTCCGTCGTCTCTTTGTGCTTGCTTTAGTCGTGCTTGCCGTGCCTGTCATGCACGCTGTAAACCAATGACTTCTGTTTTGACTTTTTCTTTTACCGTGTAAGTGGTGGAAATCGTGTCGTTTAGTTGAGATTTCGACCAACCGATTTCCGTATATAAGTGGTTCCAATCGTGTCGTTTTAGTTAAGGTTTCGACCAACCGATTTCCGTATATGAGTGGTTCCAATCGTGTCGTTTTACTTGAGATTTCGACCAACTGACTGCATGATTTTCGTGTAAGCTGTGCAAATCATGTCGTTTTAGCTTATATTTCGACTAACTGACTGCCTGAGTTACGTGCAAGCGGTGGAAGTCGTGTCGTTTTATTTGAAATTTTAACTTCAGTTACTAGAAGACATTTGCTCAGATTCTTTCACCCTATTACAATTTTAAGAAATGTATCTTTACATTTCTTAACTTGTTCACATTTTGCAATTCAATTGGTAATATTCGGGGGTCTTATTGCCAAGTAAATTTTATATGTGCACTGTCTGTCTCAGTAATCTATTTATGTGTTATTAACTACCCATTTCTATACCTCTGCTTTTCTTCCAGCCTATCTTAATTAACCTGAATTTCTAATATCATATATCAACGTAGCCGTTTCTTTTTCACATATTTCTGATACCATGGTTTCGAACAATCACATTTAATTTACTGTGCTCAGAATGAACTTTTCAAATAGATACAAGTTTGCTTCAGCCAGTTTCAATATTTATGAATTCATTGTGTATTGTCACGAGGGCCAAAAATTAATTTTCATTTCCTATAAGCTCAATATTATTGTTTTTTTTTCTGCAATGAACTCAAATCAATAGTTATTGGAGGCATTTTAATGTAGTGATGAATGCATGCACCAGTAAAGTTGAGAAGTCAGTTTTGTCAGTCACATGCAATACTCAAAATATTATTCCAATGTGAAGCTTTCATTATTCAGAGCTCTGTTCACTGCAGTTTCTAGATTTGTTTGTGTTCAATTTCATGCAATAAGTTTCATTTCATGCGAGTCTGATTCTTGAATTCAAGTTATTAAAGTCTATAATGAATGCAATTTTAAAATTCACCTCATTAAAGTTTTTAACGAGGCCAATTTCTGAATTCAACTCATAAAATTCTTTTAGAGATTAATTATTGAATTCAACTCATTAAGGTTTTGAAAGATTCGAATTCCTGTACTAACCTCATTCTAGTTTTAAAAGAGCTCAATTCTAGATTTATTATTTATTATCAATTATTATTATCAATTATTATTATTAATTATTATTATTAATTATTAAATAATCTCTGACTCTGATCAGATCGCAGCTGGCCCGACAGTCATCTCTGGACGGCACATCTAGCGGCGTCTCTGGCAGGATGGGCGGGTCAGCGAGCTTCGGCTTGGCTAGGCCCTCCTCGAGCATGACGAACCTCGCCAACATCAGCAAGTCTTCGGACATCAGCCTGCCTACTCGGCCTGGCTCGGCTCTTGGGCTCCTCGGTAGCGTGGTCAACTTCCTGGGTACCTCCTCAACTTTCTTCCCTTACTTCCCCTCTTCTAAATATTCAGCCTGGCTAGTGCGTTTTATATCATTTGTCGTGTTCGTCGTGCGTTGGTTTCGTTTACGTATTAATTAAAGGCTCGTCAGCTCGTGCGTTTTTGCGTGTTTTGATATTCATCGTACGTTTTACAGAGTAGATGATCGTTTGGATATTTGATGATATTCGTAGTTCGTACGCTCATGCGGATTTTTTAACTATCATTCGCTCGCTAGGTTCGTACCATGGTGTATTTTATCTTTAGTTTTGTTTATATTTCCATGCAAATAATCCAAAATATTGAATTGCTTGCTCGCTCTTTGATGCGTTTGTATGCTAATAAAAATTACTGGTTTGTTCCATTGAAGCGTTTTTGTATATTGGCATCTCGCTTTACACTTGTGCGATGTATTGCAGCAAAACGCATCCTACATTCATCTAGTCATCATGCAGCTCAATACTCATCGTTTCCAATGCATGTATCAAGCGTCCTATCCATAAAATTAAAGTAAGCATTCGTTGCTTACTCATATATCTATACGTTGGTAAATTAAATAGTATCTATCTATTTTTTTGTAAAATAAAATGCTAAATTCAAAATCAGGTTTTTCATACTTATAATTCATCGAGCTTCTGTTTACAATTAATTTTAGCGAGCTTGAAGTTTTTGAACCAAGAACCTCGGTGCAAGTTAAGTGAAAAAATTTCCCAAATAAGAATATTAAATGAAGTAAGCCGGTATACATTTGTTTAAATTCAAAATTTCTTCCTCCCGTATCCTGTCATTTTCCTGCCAGGAAGTAATATATTAATCACCATACGTTTTTACTCTCTCTATTTTGCCTCTTCTAACTCTCAATTGTGTGGGTAATATCGTACTTGTGTAATAAGATAATGTATTTGTCTTGCTCTACTAATTATTCATACAGTTCAAGTTTCATAACCTTTTGAACTACACAAATACATATTTTATTGTTTAAGACATATATTCTAAGTTATTATTTGTGTAGTACTATTTAAAAGCTTTTAATGCCACAAAATATGGCCTGAACGGTTTCATAAAAAAACGTCCGAGCTTTCTTATTAAAAAACGGAATCCAATGAATCAATTATACCGTAGACTTTTATTTCAAGATAAACCCTTGTGGGGAAAAATACTGATTTATTTATTAGAAATTTTAATGTCTGAATTTAATTCTTTTATGTTTTCTTTGGCTCATATTTAGGATTGTAATTAATTGTAATTACTTTACATTATAATAATTATTTGTTCAATACAATTTATATTAATTAATTTCATTCACTATAATTAATTGTAATGAATTGTCGACGCTTTAAAGTTTTCAATAAATTCGAGTCATTCCACTGCTTAGTGTCGTGGTTGAGCGCTTATTTTCTGCTTCTTTTCTTCATGTATTTTGCCAGTTGGATACTGCTTCCTTCTTATATTGTTTTAATAAAATAATGCACCTGCCATCCTGCCAAACATCTTATCATTAAATTATCGCATATTAAAATATTGCATCAGTAGAGCTTTGAGGCGGTGCAGTAGTTGCTTTGGTCGCGTATTGCATTAGACATTTATTTAATTATACGGCAATTAATCAGTAATACGTCATCAGAATGCGATAAATCAATTTAAGATTGTATCAGTTCGCTATTCATCAGTCCCACATTGTATCAGGTCGCTATTCATCAGTCCCAGCTTGTATCACAAAGAAATTCATCAGTCACTGATTGCATCCGGGTGCAATTCATCAGTTACATATCTCATTCAGATGCAATTCATCCGTTTCAGAATATATCAAGAAGCAATTGATCTGTAAAAGTCACATCAGGATTATCAAACAGTTAACGGTGAAAATTATTGCATTTCCATATGTCAGAAGTGATACCAAAAATAAAGAAGTAGTTTTCAATTAAATTTCCCATATACAGTCCCTGTAACTTTAAGATTGGTATATCATTACAAATTTCAGTTGCGTAAAATGATTATTTCATGTGAACGTAACTGACGACATTTTCTGTCATTCACTGGGTACACTTACCATTTACTTAGTGAGCACACCTTTCATTTATTCACTTTGAGCCTTTGTGCCTTATTCGCTGTGGGCATGTTTCAATCATAAAGTAAATTGAGTTAATCACTGAATGCACAATCATTTATCAGATGCACATTCCAGTCACTAGTAATTTCGTATTGATGCTGTTTTTACAATTATCTGCATCTTAAATTGTACGAGCTCTTGCCACCACAATGATATATATCGTTGGCTTAAGCTTTATTTAATTTACTGAAAATTAATGAAGATATTTTGTCATTATAAATTGTTCCTAGATTAGACAATTGCCGTATTATATCAGGTACATGAATAACTTTTTTAGTTGTAGAATAATTTGAAATCTCATACGCTAATTGATATTTTGAAATAACATTTCTGTAACAGTCTTCGATAGATAATTTCTTCGACGTCCTCAATTTTCCCTAAATCTTACAACATTAGATAATATATTATAAATAGGACATATATATTATATTATTAAGCATCATCAATAAATATATGTAAATCCACAGTTTAATGTAGATTTATAATGCTGTTTGAAATGAACGAATGTGACTTAGTTTTTTTTAAATAGTGATCACATGAATAAGTTTCTAATCATGAGAATAGTTTGTGATTCTTTAATGACTGAACCCGTTCTAAATGACCGCATATACAAGAAAAATGATTTAACAGTTGATTAATGTTTCAATCTTATGTAATATGTTTGGAAAACTGGTCTCCCATAACTGCAAATTCACTTCCTATGGTGGAACGGGGTAAAAATTCCACTCATTCGATTATAAAGTGAAAATTCGTGGATTTAATCCCCATGTTTCAGCATTTCAGATTGTACCAGGAATGTCCAACACATTTTATTGATACTTTTATCTCAAAAGTAGAGGTGTATATTCATAATTCTTTTACCTGGGAATTACAGTTTGTAGTTAAGGTTCACTTCCTGCGCTCTTTGTGCACTGAATTACATGTTACAGTAAAGGTTAATCTCCTATATTTTTTGTACAGGAAATTACATGCTGTCGTAAAATTTTTCCATTGCACAAGGGAATTACATGTTGAAGAGACGGTATACCTCCTGTACTCTTAGTTTAAGTTATAACTCGTTTCTTCATAAATTACAACACTGACTTATTACAGAAAATTACATCCTGTAGCAAAAGTGTTTTTTTTACTCGTTGCACAAGGGAATTACATGTTGAAGGCACGGTATACCACATCTCTCTCTTCTCTTAGTTTAAGTTATAACATGTTTTTTTCTTCATAAATTAAAACACTGATACAGGCGGAGGCGGCTTGAGGACATCCACTACAGGTGGCAGTATGGCCTCTTATTTAAGACTTTAAGTTATAACATCTTTTATTCATAAATTACAACACTGATGCAGGCGGAGGTGGCTTGAGGACGTCCACTACAGGTGGCAGTATGGCAGGACCTCAGCTCAAGAGCGGCCTGCCATCGTGCATCGCGTCCTGCCTGCCACCAGACCTACATCATCTCATCTACACCAACCCTGTGCCCAGCCACACGGACGGCATCGACGCTCATCTCAACAAGGTACAGTCAACGGGAAAATAATGCAGAATTTTCAGCATGATATCGATGTGGAAAATTTAACAATGTCTTTTTTAAATATATAAATGAAAATTTTGTTACCTCAGTGAAAAGATAATATAAATCGCAAAATAATTGGCCAGAAACTGTTATTAGATTATTTGAAATGAATGAATTTCTTCTCCATTTCTCGATGAGGTTTTTAAATTAACTGCTTGAAATCGTTTTGTGTTTGTATTTTTGAGTCACGACAAGTTTTATTTGATTTTTTTAATACTTCATCATAACTCAACATTGTTGAAATACATCAAAATTTTGTGTAACAAAATTAGATGAAAGTCAGCGTCCAAGCAATGAACAATTACTTGAAATCCTTTGATTTGTATTGGAGAACAGGGATATGATACAGATATCATCACAATTTGCGAACTTATTGTAACAATTTATGGATGGCTCCTATTACTGGGTTTGTAATTTCAATGGTTTTTGGCTGCCTGAGCGAATGTGTCTGCGCATGTAGTTCTTTTCCGGTTATGCAAATTCTTAACAGCTTTTGCGGCAAGTTTGGTCGAGGATTTTTGATGATTGCATGATTGTTTTTCTTTCTGGCTCGCATAAAAATTGACGAGTTCATCATCCACGAGGCAAAATGAATAATAAATTACAAAATTATTTCTTCAATCATGAGTGAATAAAAATAGATTATCCGTCACCAAATAAAAATATTCATGCGATCTCTTCTTGAAAGTCCATGGGATTTCATTGGCTAATCTTGCATGTCATTTTATAGTTTTTTTTAAACTACTGTACAAATTAATTTTAAACGTAGGCTAACCTTAATTTTTGAATGAACTATTCACTTCAAATGAATTTCTATGTTCCAAACTTGCCTGTTAATCTACTCACAAACTTTGATCGAAAATCTTCACTCACGTACGTTTGTTCGATGAACTGCCATTGATTGTCTTCAGAATTAATATTTACTCATCATTTATGCATACAATTATATCTCTAACTGCATATAGTTCAATTGTTTATTTATTTAATTATTAATTAACGTGCGCGGGCAGTTGCACAACGACATAACCTCTTCATCTTGTGACCGCCGCGGGCTCTTGGAGGCCGAGTTGATGAGGCTACAGGATGACCGCAAGAGAAGCTACTACGACAAGGATAGGGATATCCGCATCCGCAAGGAGCTAGACCGACTATCATCAGCCAATTACTCCGGGTCTTTATCTGCTGTCCAAAGGTCTGTTCAATGGAAAATTTTAGCCCATTGAAATGAAAAATATTATTTGGATAATAAAATACGTTCGTTATTTGCTTTATCTGCTGTTCAAAGGTCTGTTAAATGGAAAAATTTAGCCAATTGAAATGAAAAATGTTATTTGGATAATAAAATACGTTCGTTATTTGATCGGACCAAACGGATCGAAGCCAAAAAAATTATTTGACTAAAGGACGAATGTGGCTTAGTGGTATGGACATGCCACATGCCAAATTAAACAATGACATATATATTGAACACGGCAATTTAAACATTGAGTGATGACGCCGGTCATAAATTATTTTCATCAATAGAAAAACTTTCAATTGCGAACAAAGAAAATACGGGATGGTTTTGAACGCACAATTACTGCTCTACTGTTCGTACGCCTTTCTGAAATTTATAAAAAATTTGTATGCACATCAAAAGTACAGATAATATAATTCAAAACAACGGTTTTATTGCCAAAAACTCTATATTGGATTATACTGATAATTAATGGCCCATGCGATTCTTTAGAAAGATCAAACATTCATAAATGAAACTTTGTTCATCCAACTTTTGATACATGTTATAAACAAATGCATATCAAATATCAAATGCAGTTAACACGTCAAGATAAATAACAGCATGTGGCAGCGATTTTATACATGAATATTAAAGAGAAATAAGAATAAGCGTATGTAATGCTGGAATAATGACAATATCTGGGATTTTCAATAATCAATTGAGCCAACAATTTTAGTATAGTGATGAATATAGGGAAAAAATTAAGTTTCATGCAATACTTGTATTATATTGGCATCTTGCTTCCTCTTGAATAATTTTCTCATGGGCGTTTGATTCCTTTAAATACATTTCTTTCTTCAAATGTATTTCCATTTTATTAAGCTGGTAACTGCCCTCATCTTTTATCATCATATTGTCATGACTTCCTTGCCTGCCTGCATTGGCGTGAATTGCTCGGCTTGTGTTCTGCTAGTAATTTTACGCATGCTCATCGTAGGCACGAAATCACTCGTCGCCTCGCCATGTCACCGACCGCTTCACCGCGTCACTCGTCACACGCTCGTCGGAAACAGGGCCACAGGCGGCAATTTTCTGACCCGAAATTAATCACGGCCGTGTCGCCTCTTAAGGAGGACCTCATGAAGGCCGATTTGGAGAGAGTAAGTGAGGTGACGGAGCAAGTGGTTAGTGAGGTGCAGGTAAGGGTTTAGAAGAGACCTCATGAAGGACGATTTGGAGAGAGTAAGTGAGGTGACGGAGCAAGTGGTTAGTGAGGTGCAGGTAAGGGTTTAGAGGAGACCTCATGAAGGCGGATTTGGAGAGGGTAAGTGAGGTGACGTAGCAAGTGGTTAGTGAGGTGCAGGTAAGGGTTTAGAGGAGACCTCATGAAGGCCGATTTGGAGAGAGTAAGTGAGGTGACGGAGCAAGTGGTTAGTGAGGTGCAGGTAAGGGTTTAGAGGAGACCTCATGAAGGCCGATTTGGAGAGAGCAAGTGAGGTGACGGAGCAAGTGGTTAGTGAGGTGCAGGTAAGGGTTTGGAGGAGAACTCATGAAGTTCAATTGGAAGAAAGCATGTTGGGTGGAGGAAAAAGTGGTTAGTGAGGTGCAGGTAAAGGTTCGGAGGAGAACTCATGAAGTCCAATTGGAAGAAAGTAAGTTGGGTGGAGTAAAAAGTGGTTAGTGAGATGCAGGTTGAATACGGAATACCTCATGAAGACCAAGCAATTCCAACCTCTAGCAATTCGTTAGTGAAGTAAAGCCATCGGATTGGTGACAACTGAATCCGGAAAATTTCCCATGAATCCCAACACTTCTGTGTCACAAGAATTTATGGATCAACTATCAAGCGCTGAAACTGCATTAGCTTCACTTGCTCATCGTTGGCGCTGAGGGGGTTGAGGAATTTTTTTTAGAATCCTAGTCTCTTGCAGTAAGCATTTACTTCGATCTTTAACTCAGGTCCATTCATGGGCTGGGTAATGTTTCAGGCGCTGTAAAATATATGTATGTTCACTGAAGCGTTAACAAATATTCTGTTCCCTGAGCGGATTTAACACATAATTTATCTCTATTATTCCTCTGTTCCAGAACTTGTTTGGACACTCGCTGCGGAACTCTTCCCTGAACGCCTTCAGTGACGAGGACGGCCTCACTTCCCGCCTCCTGGGGAGTTCAAGGTGACAAGAAATTACAGCGTCTATTTGGTCTTGGGCTTGGTGTTTGTATTCAACCATCTCTCTGTAAAATAATGTGATCAATGAGAATTTCGTTTATGCGAAATTCTAAATGCCGATAAGCATTAGGTTGCGCAGCAGCATAACCAAAAGACAAATCAGTGTTCCAATTTCATCGTACATTTGATTCGGATGAGTCAATTGAGGAGTCCGGCAGAGTTCAACTCTGACGGTAATTCCTAATTTCACTTAAATTGCATTTATCAAACTAATACAATATGTACGCACAGATTGCACGGTCGTCGAGGCTCGGAAGGAGGATTGGAAGGTCGATCCTATAGCTCGATCGGGCTGTACGACACGAGCAGCTCCAGACAAAAAGCGGCACGCAAGATCCGAAAGCCTCGATCCTGGCATCCTTCGCCATACGCGTCCGACGACGAAGATGACATGTTCTCCCGGGAGGAGAAGAAGCAGAAAATCAAAGCAGAAATTTCCCGACGCCGACAACAAATCGAAGAAAACTCGCGTCTCCATGAGGAGCTTCTGCGTCTGGCGAGGCTCAGAGAGACAGCCGAGTTGGGGTTCACGGATCCCCGAGTTCTGTCATTCGATCAAAACTCACCACAAACCGTAATCAGAGATTCTACGAGTGTTCTTCGGTCGATAGACGACATCCTGCGCGACGCCCGGGATCCTACAAGCATCTACTATGGTAACTACGCAGGTTTAAAGTCAAGTAGTTCACCAGCAAATAGGTACGGTATGCCTTTAGGTACCAGCAGAATTTCCTCAGGACGACACTATTACTCTGGAGGAACCAGAGGGACCTCTCCATCTCGGTATCCAATTACAGAAGAAGATCGGTCTATAGCCAGGCTTGCTTCGACTTTCCAGTGCGATGAGTACGGGAACGCTCTTTTGGATCGTATTCCTGACTACTCCCCGTATCATCCAGAATTGGACATGATGAACGACTTTACACCTGCCATGCCCCTACTGCCCGATATGCCCACTCGCTCTCGTAAGCTCCTAGAGGACTTAGGTAGTATTCCCATAAGTAGTCAGACTCACAGGAGCAAGTATGACATGCTGAAGCGCCATAGGAAATAAAATGGCCGTAAGATATGCCTAAACGGTATAAAAATCAATGGAACAAGGTAGCATGCAGAAATTCGCTTTAAATTAGGAAATGAGGTTGTCATGCTGAACCCTAATAAAAACAAAGGGGCATGGGAGTTATAATAACAGTAAGGGACAAAGATGCGAGTATTCTTAGAAGAACCTGGATTATTAAAAATGGAAAGTTCTTACTTGCACCGAATTCCATTTCACTTATCTGGTTTGTCATTAATTTCTAGAGAATACGATAGTTCTAGTTGAATAGTTCTTGGGGCATCCTGAGAGACAAATTCTAATTAAAAGAAAACTTCACTTTAGAGAGCTTAATTCTAGTGTAGACTGAGTCGCACTTGCGAGATGTAAAGACTTAATCTCAGGAGAGTAAAGAGCATGCAATCTCGCCGAATTTGTTTATAAAATAACAAATTTTTTGAGCTCAAATGGGCCAAACAAGAGGCCTTCCTTAGATTTGTCTATTTATTTGCCCTGCGCCCTATTAGTTTCTGGCCAATAATTTCAATAAATTTTAGCGATGGATGATGATGTACCAATAACGCTATTGTCTTTCGAAACTCGTCTCTATGTGTTGTTGTCTGATATGTAGTCGATTAAACTTAATATGAAAACAAGCATAAACGCCTCATATCCGTTATAAGATGTTCCAACAAATAATATGTACGTTTATGAAATCAGTCACTGTTATACCAAGTCCCCTACTAAACGTAACTTGTCTACTCAACAAATTATTCTTATCTAAATAATGATTTTCAAACTAGTAAGTATACATATTTATTTTCGGCCACTTATATTCTAAAATCTTTTTTTCTTGACTAGAGAAATTTCATGTATCGATTCATCCAAGCAAATCTCAAATGTCTTCAAAGTTATTGGTATATGTATAGCATTCGTTAACCATCAGATGTACCGGCATTAGTGTATTTTAATGGAGATGTTGATAAATTGCTCCCTTGCAATCCAGAATTTTAGTTCAATAATTAATTCCAATTATGCTTTTGAAATCCATTTATGTGAAATGCAACTGGTCGCAGTAGGAACATCTTCTATTAGTTTATAATGAAATTACTATTATTATACTAATTATTATACTTAGCCCCACCCAAATTGATTGCTGGTCCTTGAAAATTTCCTATTCTCTTCTTGGTTATTGTGCCTTAAGATGTGGTGGCTCCATTTGCTACGTTTTACGTTTTTATCCAGTTCGTGTTTAAGTGTGTAGATGTGCAACGTTCAATTTACAGACGTACGAAAAAGTGTCGTACGCTTGATCGTCGAGTTTCCTTTTCAGAAGCTAAGTTTACTTTTGTATTGGGATTTTATCGATTTGTAAATTATTGGTATAAGTGACGAAGTACGTAGCGGTTTCTTACAAATATTTTTAAATGTTAGAACAAAAGGTTTTGACTACACCCTTATTATTTTCAAGAGTTTTCAGAGGACAGAAAAAGCTCGGTGCACCAATTTATTTGAATGATACAGGTATAAATTATTGTATTTTTCAGTGTATGAACTTGTATGCCAGAGTAAATAGTTGATTCCAAACGAGCTTTTGAAACGTAATTTTTTATTAGATTATCACAAGTATACTTCAAATACAAGCTAACGATTTTAAACATTCAAATTTAAAGACTTAATTTATCGTGAGTTTATATTACAAGATTACAACATTCTTCTTCTATCCCAGTAATGTGTAATAATAAAATGCATGCGTGAAGTCTTTTTGAATATTAATATAAATTATAAATGGAATATGATACTTCTTGACAAAAGTAGTGGAAAGTTATTAGATCTTAACTTGTATCAGTATACAAATGTCTGGATGAATATGTCTATTGGGGAAATGTTTAATTAACGGTAATGTTATTTTTAATTAATAGCTACTGTTTGTATGTCCATCTTCAAATTCACGGGAATGAAGATAAGCTTATGAGAAGTGAAAAGCACAAATGGTTATATATGATTTATGTACCTGTAAGCATAGTAAGGATGACGGCACCATATGGATTATTATAAATATCGTATAGTTAATAGTTTAAATTCAATTTTGAATGAAGTGACGTACAATACGGACTGTAAGCAATGCAGACCTTTTTGGCTACTAACAGTGAACGGATGCCCGATACTCAAAAATGATTATGAAACGGAAAATTACTGCCCGATCATAATTCAGGTTTATTATTTAACCCTAAATTGATCAGCTTGAAAGTGAAATTTACGATAATTAAAAGCATTTATTAGGAAATTGTCCTAAATGGTGGGCACTCCAGGTTTAATTTAAGATTTAACTTATCTCACTTCAGATTCAATTCACCTCTAAGCAAAATATTTATGAAAATATTATGGTGCGAGTGGGTTCGCGTGTCGAAACTCAATATTTTCTTCTATCAGGATTTAAGTTTTCGAAAAATTGTTTTGTCAAATATTCAATGAATTTTCATTAAGGCAAATCAATTATTAATAAACCAGTTTCATAGGGAAAACTGAAAACTGAAGTTGATTCCTGACTAATTTCTCATCATAATCAGGGTCAAAGTAATGCTAATGGATATGAAACCGATTTTTTGTGCTATTCAATGTTGAATTCAAATTCATAACTCAAAATAAATTGGACAATTAGATTTCAAGGTATCCTAAATTTGCGATCAATCGGATTTCAATCGGCAATTACGTAAAGGATGTTAAAAGCTGTGAATTTTGCTATACTTTCTTTCCGAGTTTAGCTCTAAATTTTCGACATGTGTATGTAGTGGATGTGACAGATGGCCCTTATAAATGGAAATGATGCAGATAATTTTTTGACAGAATTTCCTGATTTGTAACGCACCAAAGGATTCTCGAAATTGGCAGTTTTGACTGGAGAAATATGTTGCAATGTACAGAAATGCATGAGCATGTTTAACAATTCCATTACAAGATCTTACACACAAATAAAGTAGAAGTTGCTAAAGTCGTGTTAGATTTTTGCATATCATTAGTCTGCTGCAACGTTGCTATCTAATATAGACTTACGAAGTTAAGTAACCTATGCTAAATTGAATTATGTTCTTGATAACAAGGCACAACATCAACCAGCTCCCGTTATAATGTTATAAGTATTTTATGGTGTGGCATTTAAACTGTGACTTAATGAACAAAATTAAGATGTTGTTATGGGTGTGAGTTATTGCCTTTAGCGAACTTGATCCTTATTTTACACTTGATTTGACCTGTGAACTTTAAAACGGACAGGATAATTTTTCGATGAATAATTCACATAATTGTACTATGTGAATGCCTTATTTTCAGCGTGGAACTTGTGAATTGTACGAGCTGGAATTTTCTCCTGTATGTGTTTGAGTTTGTTAGTAACGTAAGGAGTGTTAGTGCACGGAAAATCTCTCGTAATACTAACAATAATTTTAAAAAATATAATAATTATAATAATAATAGCTGTTATAGGCCGTTATGTGAATCTTGAACCTGTTAAAGTATTGCAATTCTGAAATATTAATAATAATAAATATAATGTATGATTTCGATATCAGTATATAGAAAATGTGAGAGCAAGCAAACGAACTAATAGGACATAAGATTTAACAGATCATTGAGATAATCTAGACTAATTTATCGGTATCATGTGAGGTGTCACAAATACTTAGCCCTAATAACATTCAATTCTACTGTATATCATAGATACGATGATCCCTTATACGTGTGAAACGAGACCAGTTTGGAAAAAATGGCACGTTTGTCAGTTTGACCACCAAGTTCGGGTGGGGAACTTGTTGCCCAGGGGCAGATGTTGCGTGCAAAAATGCAAGTTTTGTTAGCTGAAAGAACGAATAGAAGCTGAATTGAAGAGCATAAAGTTGTCTGAGCTCCACTGATCAACTTGAGTTGGTTGTTCCATTGCTTATGAGTAGGAGGGGCTGATTCCTAAAATTATTTAATGAGCCAATATTATTAATTATTTCTAAATTTTTTGTTTGCTTACTTATTTTATATTTTTTGGTTTAAGCGAAGTGAGCTCTCGGTTATCGGATATAAATTTCATAGATTTTATAAAAAAAGTCAGGAGATTATTTTGCGACTTATCCCAAATCCCTTCATAGTCTGCGCTTTTTTCATTTATGTTCTTAAATGAAAAACACATATGAACACTGTCGCATAACAGTTGGAAAAATAGGTACATAATTTTTATCATATTATATAATAATATAAAATAAATATCAGATTTATAATTTTACAATAATTTTCTGAGATTATTTAGCAACAGAACCATTTTCCATTAAACACGTAAAACGAAAGCTTTAGTACATTGCAGAAATAATTCCTATTTGAATATAATTTTTTGTTACTTCTGTTAATTATTCTCGAATTTTATCATTAATCCGTGTCAAAGTTGCTAAACGTTTTATAACTTCATTAACTTGAGTAATTCGCTAATATGAAGTCCGAAACCGACATAAATTTCTCATTATAAGTTATCATATTTTCCTGTCTATAGTACCGATAAAAACACTTCCCGATTCCCGTATTTGAGTTTTAAGTTTTAAACAATTTCTAAAAAATATTCAATTTATTAATGGAATTGAATTATTCACCGAAAGTTAAACAATATTTATTTCTAACTAAAATGGAGCACAGCTGAATTAAAGTCATTTATTTGTTTTGCTTTCCACTTCAGGTAGTAAAATATATTTTTTGTCAAGTTTTCATTTGGTTCATTACATAAGATTTAACATAATAAAGTTTTCACTGTTTTAATAATACTGGGTGCGTAATTAAAAAAAAACAGCCCTTCCTCTCTGCAGCACAAACAGAGCATGAGAATAGCGTGTTCCAAAGAACCATGTACTATATCTCTCCCTGTACATTACATTCCGATAGAGTTGTTCATGGCATGTAACCATTATACAAATTGTTGTTGATCTTCAAATACATTATGCTATTTGAAAACAGTCACTTTGGTGTTTCTCTCTCTCCGGTATTGCCGTACTTTTCTCTATTTTATCTTAGAAAATTTCGACACTAAATTCTCCTGTGGACGAACAACAGGGCTGAAATAGTCGAGTAGGTTGAGAAAAATAGCGACGGACCGGAGCGTATCACGTATACAAATTTTCAATGACTAACTAAAACGTTTTAGAACTTTAAAAGGAACACCAAAGAAATTCGTGCAATGAAGACAATGCTTGGTATTTAAAATGCTTTTTTTTACGAAACACAGCCTAAATAGTTCAGTTTTATCTTTATGATATTGTTGACGCAGATTTCAATTCATTTTAATCGATGAACATTTTTGGTAATAAAGGCAGAGGAGAAGTTATGTTTCTTTTTGGAATTTGTGTCCGAATTTCGATGTGGCCGAACTTCAGTAGTGTCCTTAAGCCCCTAGAAACCTCTTAGTTGTTGACTATCACCTTCCCAATATCTCCTGTTCCTCACGTATACTTGATTATAATCTATAAGTGTGTTGCTATCTCTCATCCACTTCAGTTATTCCTAGCATTTATTTCACTTGTACGATTTGAAAAATATGGAATTTAAATTTTGTGTTGAAGCCCAATGCATTACCAAGATTATTTTTCATCATATAATTAAGTATGGTGCTATTTGATCAAACTTTATTTCAATTTTTAATGAAAACTTTCATAAATATTTTCACTTGTGTTTAAAAGTCTTAAAGGCATTTGATATTTATTGAAATTATTGAATGTTCACTCCATTCTTCAAATAGCAGCTTTTTACAATATATAGTATTTCATTCGAGTAAAGTTACCCCTTATCTATCAGGAAACGTTGCTATGTGAATTAATAATGTGGCATTTCAAGTTAATTCTAATTTCACGATTTTTGATTAATTTCTGTTCCCTTTTGAGCCCAAGCAAACTCTTTGAAATGCAATGTCTTCCTACAAATTTATAAAGTATGAGCAAATTTCCCGTTTTTCTTTTAATATTTTGCTTGTTTTCGCCTCCCATAACAACTTTCGTTCACGTACATATTTATCGACAAAAATATTTCTGCGAATTCTTCATTCATTTCATAAAAATATATTTGCATTTTCTTCCAGCCGATGACTGCTGTTCTCTTCAAATCATAATTCCATCCAAAACATGTTAGAGCTCTTATTCTAATTTCTTTTTATTCTGAAGCCATGATGACTATTGAAATATTTTAATTAATAAAATTCACTCTTCTTATTTCTTTCCATTTTGAAGCCATGCTCACTATCGAAATATTTTAATTAATAAAATTCACTCTTTAATTATTCAGTTTGGTATCTCAGTCCCATTTCTTCATCCCAAGTTCAGCTGCTCGATTGGTTTCTGCATGCCATTGCTGCTTCTAATTTTACCAACGTAAGGTTATAAATTTTCGTAACAAACTATAAAATATTATGATAAAAAGCAACGAAACATTTTTTTAATGTCAAGCAATTTTTTCCTGCAGCAAAACACGCAATTAAATGAAGAATAATAGAAGTAAATTCTCCACATGCCTTGTTGAATTCATGCATCTGATTCCTTTTCTTCTACTTCCCAGTTCGCTTCAGCATTTTATTGTGCCTTCAACATAGTATTTCTCCTGTGCAGCATCCTAATCTCACTGCTTAATCTAACTCACCTCAGTTCATTTCAGCATCTTTTTTCACATTCATTGCCAGTTCATGTTCTTCCTTTAGACCGAATCACTCCCTTAGATCTCCCTCAGTTACCGCATGCTTTCTTCTATGGATGCATCCTTTCTTTTTAGGTGCGCCGGCAGTAGCTGTGTGTTATCTTAGACCCTTGTCAGTGCTACATGTCTCACCATCACTTACGGTTGTCCAGTGCAGCTCAGACATAAAGAAACTCGAAATTGTGTTATTGTACTTGTGATCATCACAGTTCATCAATTTGAAGTGCACTTTGTACTGTCATTTCTATTAAATTATCTTCCTAGTGAGTTATTTCCCCCTTGTAACTTTTGCCATTAAACGATTTTGAAATGGGCACCCCCTTGAAAGTCGGACACAATCGTGCTTTCGTTCTTCACTTGGCTGTGTTTTGTGTTATAATTATAAAACAACAATGTTTGTGCGTGAATTGAAATTGTTGTAAATTCTATAACTGTTATGTTCAAGGTACCATATGCACCTGTTTGCTAGCATTGCATCAACGTTTCTTTGGTATTCCGTTGAAAGTTACTAATCGAACAGGTTCACAATGTCACCAGTTATATCTGGTTAAAAATAACCCGTTAAACGTATTAGGTCAAGAATTTTGGACTTAGTCCTTAAATGTGTTGCGTTCATGGTAATGATGAGATAACTTCTATAATGAAGAGATGTCAGTTACGGAACTCAAACAATTTTTTGGAATCGAAGAAGGAAAATCATGACTGCATGAAAAGCTCCCGGAACTTGAACACTGCTTCCATTCACAATTTTTAAAAACTTGGTTCGAAAAGTTTCAAATTTACTCTTACGCTCCTGGAGATCGTGAACATTTATCGCTTGAAAGAAATTTCGTTTTGGTGAAACGTAATCCCAATCGAATAAAATAGGTGTGGATATTTATTGAATTATGTTATTGACTTGTGAATGAACCGAAAAGTTCTAGCAATAGGACGACTCAAATCATAGATGAATTTAATCCTGTTGCATGTCAGACCCACGAGTTCACACCGGTTCCCGTTTTAGTGAACGGACTGAGTAGGCAAGTCAATCGTTAACTGAAATTATTAAATTAATCTAAGATTTATTTCGGTTCTATAGAGCTAATTTTAGAGCGAAAAGTTGTTTTTTCCCATTTCATTTTAGTTGATTCGAGAACGCGGTAAAATTGTGAGTGTAAAATCAACTTAAGAATTTCTACATAAATCAAGAACAATATGAAAAACGATCAAGGGCGTTGTGATTGAAGTACTACGCGTTAAAGTGACATAGGTCGTTGAGTCTCATTAGCGCATTTTCTCATTTATGGAGAAAAATGCACTATTGTGCTCGCCATGTCCGTCTGTCTGTCTGTCCGTCCGTCCGTGACCTCAAATTTTCGTCGACGAGAAAATGCGCTCTCTGTCACTCACTACAGTGAGTACTGAGTTATATATTTTTTAATTGTAGTGAACAACTGCAAAAATCTAGAATTCGGAATAAGCGAAACAAATATTTTGAATCGCTATGTTGACATAGTATAGCAGAAGTGCTGATTTTTCCTCTATACATGACAAATGGAATGTCCTATTCCGCTATGACTTTCAGGTCATAGACCAAGTTAAGGCAACAAGAAATCTTGCCATAGAAACGTTAAATTTTCAAGTTGAATCATTGCGAGATCATAAGATTGAAAGGGAAGTGATGACAATTTTTGTTATATAAATTTGTTTCTACTTGCCATTTACCATTTTTAAAAATAATTTTGTTCGAAGTCGGCAAGGGTGTTTCTAAAACGAAGCGAACTTGCTGAAAAAAAAACAAGTTGCGACTTTTGGTGCGAAAAAGCTCCCACGGAACCTTATTTTGTGAATTATTCCAATTTGAAATTGAAGTTAACATTACAGAATAAAGATTAAAGACAAAGAATTTTCTCGACATGAAAAATTACTTAAATTGCATTTAACTTTTTAAAAAAAAGCTTTTGAATATAGGAATTTATTCATTAAAAGTTACAATTTAACTATATTAAAACGTTTCTATGTTGAATAACAATGTGATTTTTGGTCTGTTAATTCGACATTACAGAAAAAAGTTAGAGACGAAGACCTTTCTCGAAAAAAATCCAGTTCTTCAATCAAACTTTTTATTAAATGAGAATTATCAGGGATGGATTCCAAAATACATGATATTTATTGCTATACGTCGAAGAATACTAATCGAGTTTTATGTTCAAGACTTTTTTGCTTTTTACATAATAAAGTCATTTATATCATCATAGAAAGAATTTTGGGTAAAGGTTTCTTATTCCATGAAATTGCATAAATTCCCTGTTCAAAAATCTTTCGGTTTCAAGTATCGAACCTTTTTAAAGTATTAAAATACAAAACAAAATTTTTTCCCAGGCAAACCTTACTTGGTGGATACCTCACCTCCAAAGGATGACATCTTGTATCATGAACGTCAACTTCTGGCTCACGAACCGGTGATGACTGAAGAACTTAAAGAACTCCAGGAACAAAAAGAACTCGAGTATCAGTACCTCCAAATTGCGGGTAAACTTAGTTCGGAGCAGCAAGCCATACTTCAACTCCACACGGGCATACCATCCACACCTCAACCATATGATACGGATTTATATCCTTTACGTAAAGGATATTCTTCAACACTCACAGGATCCCATCTCTACTCAGGATCATCAGGATTTCACACAAGCGGTAATCAGTATCCTGGCTACCAAACGTCCGTAGGTAACCGCATGGACCTAAGGAGATCAGGATATGCCGACTATCCTGCCGATCACAGCACAAATCCTGCAACGCTTACGCATTCACAAAATCTGCGTAATTTTTTACAGCCCGAGGTGAGTAAAATATTTCCAAATTGAGTCGCAATGGGACCAAAAATTTGATTTTGGTCGTTTATTCAATGGAATAGTTTTTTCCAATTTTGCTCGTCTGGTTGAATATCATTCAGAAATCAATTGTTTTTTATTACTGCAATTCAAGAACCGCTTCAACGTTTTAATTTACAACCGAAAACTTTTTATGATTAGTTTATTTCAAAGAAAATTTCAATACAGGTTAACTTCGCAACATTTGTAATGCAAGTAAACTTAAATTGTTGTTATAAATATAAATATATTATAAATATTAATTATAAATTATATTAAACAAATTTTCTATACTTCTAAATTTTCTGTATCTTTCTGCATTTTTTGTAATAATCACAGCTATGACGGTTATATATAACACACAATATAAATTAATTCGCTGTATCGTGACCAGCTGGAAGGGGATGGTCGCAACCCCCGCTACTCCCCACCTGTGAAACGGTTCCTGCTCACCAAGGACCCACAGGACAGGAGGACGGCAGGTATGATTTGTTAAGCAGAAAACTAAGTTTCTTATTAACGAAAAATAAAATTTGAATCTTAAGATTCTAAGTAATTAAGCTTAAGCTTTACGCGTAAGTAGATTCATCTGGATCTTGAGATTATTAGTAATTAAGCTTAAGCTTTAAGCGTAAGTAATTAGGACGTTTCTTATTTTACCAGAAACGTTTTTACCAGAAAGTCCAGAGCTTTACTTTGATTAAAATTTATGACGATCAACTTAGAATCCGAGATAAAATGCGTAAGTTCTCCAGTATGATAAATTGATATTCTATTAAAGCGCACAATTGATTTGTTACTTAATTTACGTTTTTAGAGTTTCCTTACATACAAAAATGATGATACGGATATTTTACTTTTAATACGGATGATACGGATATTTTACTTTTAATCCTTTTAATTTCATAAATATGTCAGTGCCTGAACCAATCTAAAAAAGGATGAAACAGGATAATTATTAGATTAAGAAATTAAAGACAATATTAAACAACAAAAGGATAATAATTGCTTTGTTTTTTTTTATGAAAAACAATCTCCAGGAAATGGATTGGGTATGAAGGTTCTCGGCGGTAAAGAAATTCCAGGATCGAAAGGACGGGTCTGTGGATTCGTATCGAAAATTCTGCCGAGTGGAGTGGTGGATAAATTACGTGAAGTCCATGAAGGGGACTTGGTATTGGAGTGGAACGGAGTGCCTCTGATGGACCGCACAGATTCTGAAGTCCAGAGTATCCTGGACCAGACTGCACAGGATCATGAAGTCGAGATACTAATTAGAAAGTTAGTAACCTTTTGAGTACGGATAAAACGAAAATTATTTTTTCTTTATACTTTTTTGATGTTGTTTAGCAATTCTTTTTGATACGAATTGCATTCTCCGTTGTTGTTTCAATTATAACTTTAGTGCTTCTGATCTTCACGGTCGACTGAATTCTAGAAAACGAACAAATAGGTTTCGACAATAATCCTCTGGTAGAAGTTGATTTTATTATATCAAAATCAGATTTTATACTAAAATCTACAAACTTTATAATTATCTTAATATTATTTAAATTAACGCAGTTTTTCATTTTTAATGTAGACTTCATTTTCAAAATATTTAATTTACGATAATATGACTTTGTTCGCAGTGATGTGAACATATTGACCGGCAAGCGGCTGCCTGATGCCCATGGCAAAGTACCAGACTTCAGTACCTTCCGTGACCAGGACTGGTATTACCCTGGTAAAGATCAGTACTACAGGGAATTCCCACCTCGCGACCACAAACTTGGATATGACATTAATGGTAACAGGAATACACCCCAGAATGTGGTAACTTACCAGCCCACATCTCGTGACCCTTTCGGGCAGTACTCAAACCTAAAGCCGGCAGACCCTTTGGACCGACAATTCGGATACGAGAAGGGGCAGCTGAGAGACAGTTTTTACAATGTAAATCAAACAAATAAAAATTATTACCACAATTCGAATTACGGTTCTGGTTGGCAAAGAGATTCTGTCTTCGGGCCAGACACTCGATATGATTACGGGAACAGAGATGGAAGGTACGGCGAAGACCTCCGTAATTCAACTTCAGGGTACAGTCAATATCGGAATCACAACAACAATAAAAATAGTCTATCGAGGATGGATCCATACCAGGACCATCGACTTCATGGATCAAGATCCAGAAGGGAAGTGGATCGTTATTGGAATGGTGATCGAGAATTACCGTCCACCACAAACATGATCCGCAGACACTCGTGGGACGTCCATGATGAATCGGGTCACGGCAAAGGTAAGAACTCGTTTTAGTTAAAGTTGTTCCAAAGTATAAAAATGTCATTATTTGAGTGATGCTTATAATTTGTGTTTAAAATGGACCTCCAGATTCGTTACAATTTATGGCATTCCAGATCTGAAATCAAGTGGTCAAGCCGATTTATTAAAAGTGAATCCAAAGTCAAGTTTCGAGAGTTCCCATTAAGTTTCAAATTCTCACAGTATCCTCCAAGATGTTGAACGCAATTAAATGTCTTTCACAGGTCAATACTGGAGGTCGAGGAACAGTTGTCTAGACGACGAATACTACAAACGAACAGAAGGGGACTTTCTGAGGGCTCGTCATCACAGCGACCCAGCCTTTAGGACCGACTATCAATGTGTGAGGCGATGGCATTCCACGGATCGCTACCCGGACGAATATCGAACTGTCCGACATCTTCCTGATATAAAATTATCTCTGTGTCCACCTGAAGATCCCAGGGAGCGGAAGTATGGTTCAGCTCAATACCTAGACCACGCTGCAAGACGCTATCGGGAAGAGTTTGACTTTGCGCGAAAAGATCTAGACAGGTTCCAGAGGTATGGTTCGTTCAAAGATTATGGTCACCACTACCATGATGATCGGCAAAGAGACAAGTTTGGTTCTGGTTACTACAGTAGAGGCAAATCGTGTTCAGACGACCTTAGGTATGCATACGACAAGTATCACGATTCGACCGATGCGTACTTTTCAGCAGACCGATACAGAGATACACGCACTAACACTGAGAGGTACCGTGACGAAGAGAGGCAGAGGCTACAACAGAAGCAGGGGCTGCATCGATGGAAAAATCAGAGAGACTTATACGATCCGAGTCGATATCAGGAAACATTGAATCCTTTGTACCTTGATGACCGAGCTAGGGATTTCCGTGACTCGTATGACACCAGGGGAAGGGATGGACATGACAGATACCACGATGACGGATATTACGATTATGGAAATCAAACCGGTTACGATCCTTATCGTGAAACTACACAATCAGTTTATACAAGTTCCCAGTACAGGGATGACAGGGCTTACCAGGAAAGCAGGTACCGTGATGCCAGACATTCTGGATACAGCGATTTCGAAACCAGCGAAAGGGAGCGTAAACACCGAAGTCGAAACCCGCCACAACAATTGAGCTTGGAAGGCCGCGCAGGGCCTGCTTCGCCTCGGAGAGATGAGATAAGGAGCCGCGACAGAAAGGTAAACTAAGTACATATCAACTCATCTGAATATAATGTTTGATTTACAATTGCACTTTCGAAAGAATACATTGCATCATGAATAGTTGTTAATATGTACTTAAGCCTTTTATAAAATAAGTTGACATTAATCATTTAAAGATGGAATGAGAAGTTTCCGTCATAAATCTTCATTGAATTCATAAAGGAACAGAATTAAGAGCACGAAAGGTCAAAAAGGGTTACAACGTTCTAAAAACAATTTTTAATGCCAATCGTCACCAACATGTTTCATTTCTCATTTTCTATGTTTTTCTACTCAACCACTCATAAATATTCCTCTAATTTAAATCAAAATCGATTCATTTCCTCAATGTTTTCTATATTCTTCAGCACAAAAACAATTCCAAAGAAGGGAAATCAAGGCGTTCTGGCAAGAGTCGGCACCACCAAAGTCACCAAGTGCAACAAGCAGAAGTTCAGCTTCTAATTTGCCACGACGTGGTGGCTCAAATCCTGTACGTGACCGTCCTGAGGGCCAGGAATCTTCTCACGCTCAGGGAGGATGGAGACACAAGGCCTGATCCTTTCATCAAAGTTTACCTCCTGCCTGGCAGAAGGTGAGTACTTACGGTGCCCATTTAGGGGTGAGATGTCCATTGAATTGAGATAAATGAAGTTGATGTATATTAATTATTATAGAGGATGGAGATACGAGGCCTGATCCTTTCATCAAAGTTTACCTCCTGCCTGGCAGAAGGTGAGTACTTACGGTATCCATTTCGGGTATTGTGTCCATTGAATTTGATTTATAGTAATTAAATATGTGAGTGCAGCTTTTTCTAATTTATTCCGTTTCTTAGATTTTTTTTGTGTTTTACACCCATGCACATCAAAATGAATGAAATTTTAAAAGGAACAAAATTCCTCATTTTAAGCTTTAAAGTGAATTAATTTCTAGATTTGCGAGAATTTTCGAGTTGAATTTTATGAGTTATGAATACAAATTCTATACTAGAAACGGCTGAAATGATGGTCGTGAAATTTTTAACTTAATGACCTTTTCTGCATTCGAAATTTTAAGTGCGGTAATACGAAGGTAAGACATCGAAAGGATTTTGTATATTAAAACGCTACATTTTACTGTGGCTAACAAGGGCTTCAGCTCCCAAATAAACTTCCTAACATTATTAAGGATTAAAAACTTTCGAACAAAATGGATGAAATATACCAGGAGTAAAGACATAATTCAACACAAGTTTTGTTTCGGGTTTCTATGTGTTCCTTTATTTTATAGAGGCACATTGCGTAGAAGAGCCGGTAATTTGCAGTTTCCGATGAGAGATAAAAAAAATGGCTCTGAAAGCGCTGTAAATTTGAAGACGCTGGTACTAGTAAATTTTCTGATCGCATGTTAAAGAATATAACTCAGTAATCACTGCAGTGAGTGACAAAGAGGGCATTTTCTCGTCGACGAAAACTTGCGGTCACGGACGGACGGACAGACGGACAAACAGACAGACGGACAGACAGACAGACAGACGGACATGGCGAGCACAATAGTGCATTTTTTTCATAAATGAGGAAATACGCTAAAAATGTAACTCAATACTCACTGAAGTGAATGAAAAACAGCGCACTTTCTCGTCGACGAAAACCTGAAGTCACTGACGGGCAGACAGACGGACAGACAGACGGACGGACGGACATGACAAGCACCATAGGACATTTTTTCCATGAATGAGAAAATGCGCTAAAAATGTCAACAGTGTAATTAAACCGACTTTATTTATTTATTTTATTTTTTATTATTTTGACTTTCAGGAACTAATAATAAAATTAAGAGAGCTTTACTGAACTACAGCCCATTTCCCAACATGGTAGAATTTCAGACATTTGAGAAAGTGACTCCCTCGGGGATCCCCTAAAATTTAACCTATTTCTCTATGAAAGACCAACGTCAAATTCGACAATCTATTATTGTGATATTAACGGATTTCTTCAGTTCCAAAAATAACTGATTCTGGTACATTAGTGCAGTCGATTTATCTTTTATTCTTATAAAGACTGACATATTTACCCTGCGATAGCCAGCTACGCTCTTTGAACTTATTGATATTCGCTATTTCTTTGGATTTTAGTTTGGAGATATAACGGCACTATAAATATTTCTTTAATTTTCATAACTTCGTAAGTATTCAGCTTGGGAAAATAAGTCACGCTCTCACTGGATCATTTGTCTTTTTTTGTTTCTTGTATTCCTTTAATTTTTATAAATTCGTAAGTATTCAGCTTAGAAAAATAAGTCACGCTCTCAGTGGTTCATTTGTCTTTTTTTTTCTTGTATCTATTTTACTTTGGAGAACCAGCAGCTCCCTCGGCCTTCCTTTACTTTTTATAAATAAATTTCTTCGCAATTAATACAGGAAAAATCTTTACGCTCCCAAAATTTCAGTTGTGTTTTAATTTCTTCTAGCCTGGAGAACCAGCAGCTCCCTCGTCATTTCTTTACTTTTTATAAATAAATTTCTTCTCAATTAATACAGGAAAAATCTTTACGCTCTCAAGAATTTCAGTTGTATTTTAATTTCATTTAGCCTGGAGAACCAGCGGCGCACTCGTCATTTCTTTAATTTTTATAAATAAATTTCTTCGCAATTAATACAGGAAAAATCTCTACGCTCTCAAGAATTTCAGCTGTATCATAATTTCTTCTAGCCTGGAGAACCAGCGGCGCACTCGACATTTCCAGCGCACGAGTGCCCCGGAATGGAACCAGACGATGGTTTACCCCAACCTGCACGTGTCGGACCTCAAGAAGCGATACCTGGAAGTCACGGCCTGGAACTACGACCAGCACAGGCCTAATGAATTCCTGGGGGAAGTCGTGCTCGATCTCAGCGGTGAGTATGAACCTCGCTCAAGTACACATAGTGGCCTAAGTTCACGTAGTGGGATATGAATACGTAGCGGGCCAAGTGTATAATGACTATAAGTGTACGTAGCCTGCTATGTATACGTAGCGGGCTATGTATACGTAGCGGGCTATGTACATAGCGGGCCAAGTGTATAAGGGCTATGTATGCGTAGAGGCCAATTTCTCGTTTGTGATTGGTGGGTTTAGCTTGTAATGCCGTCAATGATTGGTTGACGGAGCTACGAGAATTTTATTTATTTTGATCGTGCGGCCCATGGATTTTACTATTTCTTGGAATTAATGTCCGAGGATATTCGTGCAGATTATTTTTGTTGAAAATATTATCGGAAAAACGGTTTTATCGCGCAAAGTCTAATTGTTTTCAGTAATCTTAAAATTATTTAATTCTGTCAGTTAATAAATTCATGAATAAATTTATAAATACTGGGGGTTATAAACGTTTGAACAACGTTTAACTTTTTTTTATTATTTCATTACATCTGGCGACTTAGGTGTTACTGCAATATTTGAGATGGATTTTACACAATGTTTTTCTGATGTCATCTCATTTGTAAGCGAGAAATTGCGAATTTTTTTTCATTGATAATTTTTCGTATGAGATTTCTGATAAGTTTTAGGTTGAAAGAAAAATCTTTTGTGTCACAGATCCTACTGTGGTGAACGAGGATCCCAAATGGTATACTCTACAAGAAATGGTCGACCGAGCCGACATGCCTGGTACGTAACTTGTAGCTAGCAACTAGCTAACTGTCATTTGACGGTGATATAACGTCGGTTAAACGTTATTTCGACGAAATAAACGCCCAATCAACGTTTTTTAATATCATTTGCCTGGAGGGCAGTAGATGGATACACGTGAAAAAAATTTGTATAACTGTCTAATTATATATATCAAAATATTTGCTTAAATAGCAAATTAACAAAGAATTCGAAATAAAAGAAAAGGCCAAGCAAATTTATCCCAAGTAACATTTGAAATAGTGATAAATTTACTTAACATTTTCTTTGCTTCTAATTTCTGATAAAGTATGTCTGAAAAGTGAGTGCAAGAAATTCCTTACATGCGCCTTTAGAGTATGAACAAATACGTAGACCGAATTCAAAATAATTGATATAAAGAAGCAGATTCCCTTACAATTTAATCATGAAATATTTCCACAAAATTCAAGTATATTTATTAAAACTGCATATAAAGTTGAAGTTAAAAATTAAATTTACTTTCCAAAATGTGAACTTTTAATTGCAATTATTTTTCCTTTTCCAGCTCTGACTAGCGGTATGAGAGCATAAGCTTCGTAGGTCTACAATATGTGCTAAAGCTGCAGCCGTTTATTTAACTGCGGAAAATCAAATAATAGATTAAAATTTGAATACGATTTTCATACTACTCAAGTACGATTTAAACACGATTTAACTGAAAATTATACATAATCAAGATTCAGTTTCCAAAAAAATTTGACAAGGATAGAATGCTGGTGTAATAGAATTTGAAGAAACTTTAGATAAACGAATTACATGTTGCTATAGAGTTGTTAAAGTGTGTTAAATTAGATAGATATATTAATTATCAATTATCGAGGGTGGAATAAAAGCGTAAAAATTATCTGTTTTCAGTGTAGTGTATCATCAATCAACTAGCACGCTTCTATTATTGAAGAAGTTATCTTTTAAATAATTTGTAAAAAACGATGAAAATGCTTGAAATAATTAGCAATCGTGACTAATAGAAATAATGGATGATCAATATCAAACCACCGTCAAAGATGGTAAATAAATATTCTATCCAAATGCATTAGTGGATGGAAATCCAAAATCATTTTGTTATTATATAAGGTTTTTTAGAATTAAATTTGAACTTGATGAATACTAAATAGCGGCAGAAAAGAATGGAGTCTTTTTGTTAGGACTAGACGTGGACGTGTCAGTTAAGTGGACTGAGTTTAAAACCTACTTCCGAAGTACAATAAAAAATCTATAAAAACAAATGAAAAATTTCGGTTTTTCTTAACTAATGCATGGTCTCAATTTCCCATGCAGATTTTCAGAAATATTATAGAAATATTATCAACATAAAGTGTAGATAAATTAAATGTAGATGTGAAAAATATGCATTTGTAAAAAATTCAACGACATTAAATAGGTTCATGAAGTTTAGGAAAAAATGAATATTTCTCAAAGACATGCATAAAATTTAACTATTTAAAGTGTGTATACACATTTAATTAGTTTCAATTTTTTTTTCGTCAATAGAAAGATAATTTTAATTAACCTGTCAATAGTTTAAATTTGAAATAATTGAAAGACAGCTGAAAGAAATTCTGATATGTCTAAAATATTAAAAGAGATAATTTATTGATAAAAATACCTTTCGAGTCCCAATTTAAACATATCAATGACAACAACAAAACAATCATGCAAAGATACATATCCATGATCACGTTTGAAAATATGCTTGATTTACAATTGTTCACTTCATGGTGACACATCAATTTCTCCGAGAGTTTTTTATTACTCATATACGAAAAAAATGTATTATAGCTCTAAGGCAAATATATGATTTAATGTCAATGGTTTGAGCTGAAAAGAAAGCTCCTGAAAGTAATTACATCTGAACGTCCAGGCTGTTAATGATACAATTATTACTTTTTACTTATCATAGAAACTCATTTAAAATATTAAGTTGAAAATTTCGTATTATAGCACAGAATTTTTTATTCGAACTACAAGAATTCAGACGGATTGATTTAATACAGTAAAAAGTCACTAAAATTGGGAATATGTCCTCATAAATTGAATTTTTGACAGAAATCAGATATTACAAATAAAGACAGGATGAAAAACTGTGAAATCTTCATTGAGTTTCATTTAGTTTTCATTTTTAGAAGCGTTCACGGTTGAAGCTGAATTCCGATACATTTACTCATGTACGATGCACTATTGCACGATTATTATTCAAGATATGGGTCTGTTTTATGTACATGTGTATTCGTTTCAATAGAAGGGTTAAATTATAACCCCTATAAATAACTCTATGCACAACTAAACTGGTACAGAGATAAAAGACGTAGATATTTCTCCAACAGAGAAGTGCTAATTTCCAATTGAAATTTCTTAGTTTATTGACAAATATTTAATTTATGAATAATAGTGCATATTGTAATAAAATATGTGTTATTACGTTGTTGCATCACAGAAAAGTTAGTTGCAATAGATTTTAGGGCTCATTTTTCATAGTAAATCATAAAATTTTCATTAAATACACTAAATTATTGTGTTTCGCGCGAAGCGTAAACTTACTTTTGCTCAGAATAATTTTGAATATTTTTCTTATGTGAATGAATAAAAAGACCGATTATATTCACTCTACGTCAATTTTACTTAAAGTAAAAATTGGTATAATTGGATGGAGGGAATAATTGTTAACCATGATCATCGCGCTGAAATTTTTACTTAAATGATGCGCAAGTAATAGATCGTTAGCTTAATTTAAGTACAAACTATGTGAAGAGTTAACCACCAGTGTGATGATCGCAAAATCCCTGGTTATCTCACTCAAGCGTTGTGAAAGTATAAATAAGTCGTGTAACCTTAAACTGTATATATATTAGTGGGTTCTGTGTAAGAAAGGGATGTTTTAGATGTTCAAATTCACATAGATAATAGAATTTATCAGAGCACGTACAAAAAATTCGGCCTAATGTGCACCTAGTCTGAAAATTTACGTTCTTCTAGAGGTTTAGAAAATTTGCGAATTACTCTACGGATGTTGCACTGCAGATTTGATTTAATCGCCTAAAAAAGGGTGTTTGTCGTTTCTCTTATTCAAAATAATGTAGCAGCGAATTCAAGATTTTGGCCATCGAAATTCGTATTCATACTTCAATGTAATTATAAATTTCTGGAATCTGCTTTGATAATTTGAGTGATAAGTGAATGAGTGCATTTTCTACGCATGTCCACACGCATTTTTATGGTATTGAAGGGTATCATGACCGGTATTTTGCATTTAAATAAATTCTACTCTTTTCACTTTGAATGACACTATTTATAACAACGCTCAAGTGATATTTTCAGCGCACCTTTTATAAAAATTTCTGTATGTATGCTTCTACGTGTAACTAATACCGTACTAATTATTCTAGTTTATGAACTAGAATAATTAGCCACGAAACTCATTCCGTATTACAATTCCGTGATGTCACCGTCAATACATAATTTTCGTGTTCAAATATGGCATTTAAATTTTCAATCCATGCATATTTATTTCGCGCCCATATTAACCCCTTTGCCAACTGCCAATTTTATATTCTAAGTATATAGTGCGTTTCATTTAATAATTGAAGTTACTGAAGGAATTCGAAAATTTCTCCTCTAATTATTACTATATTATTATTCTTATCGTCAGGATATTATTGTCTTCCTCGCGTACAAATTATTATTCGTAAAATGTTCTTCGTTCGGGTGCTCAAGGTTATATCATTATACTATTTAATTATGAATAAATTTAAAATGCAACTTAGTTTACGCCAGGTATTTTTTTTACGGTGACCTACTTACCAAGAATACTAACTAAAATTGCACATATTATTTTGTAATATTTAATCAGTGGTTGTGTCTATGAATATTGAAAAAATTGTTTCAAATTATGGACAAACATGATTGAATTTTTTTGAATTAAGACACAGCAACAATTTAGCAGCGAAACTTGAATTTACGAAAGTTCTCAAAGTTCCTAAACTTCAGTGACAGGATATTTTGTTTCATTGACCTAATGTAATGGAATTATTTAGTAGGAAAACCAGGATTATTCAATAATATTTATAATATACAAAAAAGACATAGTTATTCTTTAAATTAGACACACAAAACATGAAGTGTTAAAATTGAATAGTTTAGAAATAGAGATTAACATGCAATGAATAAATTAATAATCAGTTATAATGTAGCGTCTGGAGGGAAGAAAAGTTTGAGATAAAATTCATATTAAATTAAAAATCGATTTCCCTTTAGTGCGTTTCATTAAAATTGAATAAATCAAGAAGTAGCAACTTGGAATATAAAATTGTATAAAATTTTGTGCAGCTATCGAACAAATAAAAAAACATAAAATTTCAAATTTAGCACTGGAAAATTGTCGTGTAGCTTAGCTAACAACGATACATCTAGCGCTATCTTGAGTTCTTGGAACTGGACTTTGAATTATGAAAGTTCTGAAATATGGCAAAATCAGCTAAATATATTGGGAAAAAGCCATCTATAAACAAATTGTGATTGGTCTTAGATAAGTTATACTGAATTAAATATTTATACTACTTAGGCACATTTATTAATAGATTCAAATCCTATATTAGAATAATAATTTTTAATCACCGTCAAACTGTTGTTTGCTTTTTTTATTAGAATTATTATTTGTTGGAATTAATAAAAAACGTTTCATTTGTAAGGATCCTAATTTTTTATGTAAATTTAGGTAATATAATGTAATTTTTGAACCATTTTATTAAAAGTTCCTTCACTCGTAGAAGTATTAGCTTGTTTGAGGAAATAACCTTTATTAATGATTTACTTTAGATTTGGTAAGTAAAAGTAGAATACCATTTAAAAATGGAATCGCATGATGAAAAATTTAATCTTACGATAACCATGAAGCAAGAGATAAATTTAACAAGGAATGATCGATGAAAAATAAACTTTATTGGAGGAGACCCGAAGTTTAAAATATTTACGTTAATAATAGCTACGAAGTTAATATGACTGCCACACTCAAACAAATGAATGAGTCGTATTGTCCAATTGGTGACACAATTTCTGCCCGTAAATCTGATGCTCCCTATTACCGGGCCAAAGTCTGCCCGTAAATCTGATGCTCCCTATTACCGGGCCAAAGTGGGTCAGGATGACGCACCCTGGGCAAAAAGCGCATGTTATTTGGACGAAGTCTCACTCATTTATCTGAGTATATAATATATAGATGTTAATGTGTATGACCCATACATATAGTGTATAAATTAGATGTTAGAATATTTAAATGAATCAATTAGTATGCAAGCTTATTTTAACCTTCGTTTAAGTGCAATCAAAATAGCCTCCATAACTAGTGTGTTTTAAAGTAACCGCATTTATGATTATTTTTACTACCCTTATAGATAAAAACCTCTTTTGCACATTCATAATTTTTAAGATCGTTTATATAGGTTATAGAGTAAATAATTGAACTTAATTAACCCCATGCGTTAGTAAGGTAAGTTTACTTAGCAGCCGCATTAGTAAAGCGACTTGGATAATCAGGTTATGTAGTGGATGTGTTAATTAGTTTGTTCTTAA